GTGTAAAGTGTCTTTCTGCAGAGCAATCATTGTGTCGGATGTGAGATTTTCACCCCTGTCAACTTCAAATCCGTGTAGCAAAAAATCTAAATGGTCAACCCCCTACAAAATTATGATGAGGAGATTGCCAAATGTTGTCCCCATTGTGCCTATAAAGATTGGAACCAACGGAATGTTGAGAAAAAAGCTACAGCCTGTGATGTTACAGCCATTTAACATTGAAGTCAATGGGCAAATAATTGCTAGTCTGAGTCCTGATGATATAACAATTAATGGCCGACATGGGATGTTGATATTTTTTCAGCGGCTTATTTCCTGAAGTTTTGAATGGAAAGTGTCAGAAATGGTAAGAATACTGCTTTTTTATTGCCCAGCACTAAGTGTTTTGACTATTTGGTATCAAAATAGCCATGATTGGGGGTATCCGTTGGCCGAGTGTGAATTGTGGGTTGTAAATGTGTAACATTTTGTTCACAATGATATCAAAACATGGTTAGGTCTAAATATTAAGCCCAACTCAACTGCAGATTTGGTCTAAAGTCACTATATTTCATGTAAGATTTTTTTCTTTTTGTATATTTATTGTATATTTTATGTAACACCAATAAACACTTAAATTCAAACGATTTATTGTATTTTCACAGTTACTGTTCTTCCAATTTCATTCCGTCACGTTACAATTCAGGGAATTTACTATAAACGCTTGAGCACAAGCCTTAATCAATCCGCCATTTAATTCCACATCTTTTGTCTTAGCATCGTCGAATATCTGGCAAAGAACATAACTACATATATATTAGTTTAACTTGCATTTAGGTCTTACATTCACATATTACAGAGAACAGGTCCGAGCACAACCTATACACATCAATCCGCCATTTAATTCCACATTTCTTTGTCTTAGCATCGCCGAATATCTGGTAAAGAACGCTTGAGCACAAGCCTTAATCAATCCGCCATTTAATTCTACATTCTTTGCCTTAGCATCGCCGAATATCTGGCATAGAACATAACTGCATATATATTAGTTTAACTTACATTTAGGCCTTACATTCACATATTACACCAGATATATTACAGAGAACAGATCCGAACACAACCTATACACATCAATTTTTGTTCCCCTCTATTGTCTCGTCTCACCCATTTGCATAATTACAAACACCTTCCCCAACCTTTGGAACAAGGATAGGTTCCGCACCAGACGTCCTCTTCTTCCCACGCCCACGCATCTACCAATGGACTGGCCTCAGTTAAGAAATAGATTCCAACCACCTCCAGGCTTCTACCAACCACCACCAGGCTTCTACCAACCACCACCTGGGTTCCACCAACCACCACCTGGGTTCCACCAACCGCCACCTGGATTCCACCAACCACCCCCTGGATTCCACCAACCACTACCGGGATTCCAGCGCCGACCAAACCAGGGCCTACCAAAGGAGCGCCAACCAAACCAACGTCTACCAAAGGAGCGCCAACCAAACCAACGTCTACCAAAGGAGCGCCAACCAAACCAACGTCTGCCAAAGGAGCGCCAACAACCCCAAGAAAATGCAGGTGTCGTGAAAGCCTTCTTTCAGGTCCTCCAATGCCTCCACCACTTGACCATTATGGAGAGCCAGGAGAATGGAACACCAACCGGAAGTTTCACTTGGAAGATCCAAGACCTGAATAAGTTCGTGAAGCCGGCCATGAAGACGCCTACCATAGCCACTACCATTGAGACATTGAACTTGAAATGGGCCAAGGACGTCGCCTCATCCCTGTCGACACACTACTGAGCCATGCTAGCGGAGAAACTGGAGTACTTGAAGTCACGTCACTTTACCAAAGATGCTGTACAAGAGTACTCTAGCCACGCCCTAGCATGGGCCAAGAAGTCCTACGGCAAGCGACTTCAGGATAGTGTTAAGACAGATTTCCACCGCCTACTGTCCACGGTCTCTAAAACTGCCACGCCCCCTCCCCCATCACCCATGCACATTACACACAACCTTCTCCGGGACACACCAAAACGATACACACCCAACAAGAGAAAATTATCCTCTGGAGAAGGCACTTGCATTAACACTCCCTCGAAGCGTGCAGCTAGATCAACCAGTTCGCCCCGGGTTGTATCTGGCTCACCTACTTCCTCGGGATCTATATCGCCACTAAACGCACTTGTCGACTGTCTGTCCCCTAGATCACCCTTTATTCCTAACCCTAGAATCGCCACCAGATCTTCCACCAGATGTAGGCGATCACTCAACCTATCCCTAAAGAGACCTCACAGCTACAAAGGTAAAGACGACAAGGATTTATGGTTCCTTCCACCCGTCATGGCAAAGACCCTGGTTATTGGATCCTCTAACCTGGCTAGGATTGCATCCTTCCTCGGGGACTGGGAGATCCATAGCTATTCTGGAGCCAAGATCAGCCACATCAAACAGATACTCCAGAACTACATGGGTCCTGCACCAGAAGAATTAGTGATACACGTCGGGCTCAACAACAGGGAGGAAAGTGGACCAAGGATACACGAGCAGATGCTAGATCTACTCAAGGTGACCAGAGCAGCTTTCCCAACAACCAAGCTCTTCGCCACACAGATCCCCACTTCTTCCCGACTCCGACAAGAAAATCCGATCGCCTACCAAAACATCACCAGCTACAACCAACTGATCTCCACTGCACCTTCACCAAACGCCACCACATTACCAACCTTCAAGGGCAAAATAGAACTGAAAGGTAACGACGCAATCCACTGGAGCCCAGACACGGCCAGAGAGATCATCAACTGCTGGATGAGGAATTTAAACTAGGATTAGGGAAAAGGAATGAGAAGCCGTCTTTAGGACAGACAGTTGTCAATTTGAGCGACAGACTTCTCAACCCCCTAGAAATGAACATTCTTTATAAAGGCCTTAAATTCATCCCAACCCCCACAATAACATCCATAGACCCCATTACCCAGGCAACCGATCGCTTCCAAAGAACACTTTCGTTGACTTATTTTTTTAGGAACAAACCCGGCAGAGTTAAAAAATTATTCACAGCAAAATCCACATGGAAACCACCTAAAAAGTCATTATCACCAGCCATCCTAAAAACTTTCGACGAAATAAATATAGAAATATCATCCATTCAACCACAATCACAAAAACCAAATCTCAACCGAGCAACTAAAACGGCATTAAACACCCTTAAAAAAGACAAAAACATAATAATTAAGAAAAGCGACAAAGGCTCGTGTTGTGTCATAATGAATCGCGCAGACTATATCTCAGAGGCAAAAAAACAATTAAGTAATCCTATACATTACACTAAATTAGACCAACCCATCTTTAAGGACACCGCAACTTTAATAAACAACATCTTATATGAATTGCAGGATAAGGAATTATCTATCTGCTAAATCTGACTGCGGACAAAGACATCTCTATACACTACCAAAAATACATAAAAATCCAGAAACAGAATGGTTTATACCTAATAAAATACCCAAGGGACGCCCGATAATATCAGACTGTGGCAGCGAATCATACAACGTATCACAATATATAGACCATTTCTTATTGAAGCAGTTAGGAAAGCATTTCTTAGGAACCCGCAAGCATCCAGGCTGGACGAAGAAATCCTCAAACTACTCGACATTTGTCTGAGGAGGAATGACTTCGCTTTTAACGACCAAGTATACCTTCAGTCTTCCGGAACTGCGATGGGAAAACGATTTGCCCCGAGTTATGCAAATCTCTTCATGGCGGAGTGGGAAAGGGAAGTTCTGCCACTCTCTCCATTAAAACCAGATTTCTATGGGCGGTTTTTAGATGACGTTTTCATAGTCTGGACGTACACACTAGACGAATTTTGGACGTTTTTCAACATTCTGAACAATCATCATCCATCTGTCAAATTAACCGCAAATGTAAGCCATAACAGCATAAATTTCCTTGATACTACCGTGTTTAAAAGTAGCAACACCAAAATCACAGGCCAATTGGAAACTAAAGTATTTTTCAAAGAAACCGACACACATCAATTATTGTTCAAAAGCTTCTTTCACCCAAAACATACATTCTCTGGCATCATAAAATCTCAGATTCTCCGTTTTCATAGGATATGTACTCAGAAGACCGACTTTGAGTCAGCATGTACATTGGTATTTAGCAAACTAAGGGAAAGGGGATACTCCAAACGCTATCTACGACGTATAAAAAACAACACTCTCGCTGAGCTTGCCGCCAAAGAAACAAATAATATACAATCAGCAGTCAAAACCAAAATTTGTGGCCATCCAAGATGTCAAACATGCAAAATCTTAAACATATCCGACCATTTCCATAACAAAACATCTGGCACAAAATTCCCAATATTAGACCAACTTTCATGCAGTAGTTCAAACATAATTTATCTAATTTCATGCAGAAAGTGTGACAAGCAATACGTAGGGGAGACTCAAAATGCACTTAGGGAAAGAATTAACGGTCACCGGTCAGACATAGTCACCAAAAAAGACAAACCTGTCTCAATTCATTTCAACCAACCGAATCATGACATTTCTGATCTCATTGTCACGCCAATAGAAAAGACCAAGAGCGACTTGGAAACTTCAGAAGAAATTAAAACGTTTAGGCTAACTAGAGAAAAATTCTGGATTGACAAATTGAAAACAACAGAACCCCTAGGTTTGAATATTCATACGGCTAACGCAATAACTCCTTTTGTAGTTCCATTTAGCGCAACAGCAGCAAGTGTATCCAAAATCATCAGAAAACACTATACTGATCTCCAAGAAAATCACCCGAAAATATTCACACAGAAACTTATAATTGCATATTCTAAAAATAAAAATCTGAACGACATCCTAGTGCACAGTAAATTAGATTAAATAAGACCAGTCTCCACCCTGACCCAAAACAAACCATATATCAAATCCTATCCCTAACCGTTAGTAAATAATTCAATTAGATATAAGAATCCCTAGCCCTAACCCGCTGACGTGGAACAAACACGATTTTTTAGAAAATCCAATCCGTAGTAAGAAACACACTAATGTGGCTCTCTCCCGAGAGCCTCAAATTTATTTTCTTTTTTCTTCAGAAACAATAATACCAGAATACCAGAAGCACCACCCAAGGAAGACCATCAGCGCCACCAACACCAATAAACAGTGAAATCGCCTTTGTATATAAATCTAATGTATTGTATGTATTTTTAATAAAACTAGGAAATATCACGAACTAATTTTTCATCATCCTAGGTCAGTGCTTATGTGGAGACTTAACCTCTCCCCAAAATTCTTAAACCTAACCCACAATCTTTTCAAAAAGCATGTAGCCTAGGCCTAAGCCAAGACCTAGTCCTGACCCTAGCCCTAACCCACAATTGTGTCAAAAAATCATGTGCCCTAACCCTATTTACATGTTGTGACCTTGAACCAAGTCTGCAGTTGGCCTTAATATTTAGACCTAACATGTTTTTGACATCATACAATGAAATGTTAACATGTACACTCCTCCTAAATTCACACCTGTGTGACTTTTGACTAAACCTGCAGTTTGCCTTAATATTTAGACCAAACCTCAAAACATGGTGTCTACCTTTGAGATTGGCTTAGACTTATGTGACACTCAAGGTTTATTTATTTACTGACTGTATACAATACACAAAAAACACATACTTATGGAAAAACAGCTACTTATTTATTTGGGCGACGTTTCGAAGAGTATACAGGTTTCTTGTTGGGGGGGGGGGGGCACTGAAGGGACGTTCGCTAGAAATAAAGAGCCATATTATTTCTATTTCCAGTTGAAACAGCGAGGAGGTCTCCCTTCTTATTCAACCACATATTTTTTTTAATTATTATTATTATTTTCTTACTTTTTTTTTTATTGCATATTTATTTCCATCTTTCTTTCATTTCAGGTGTCAGGTTACTGTGCAAGAGTGGTATGATTGACCTCAACACAAGTATTAAGGCAAAAGGTGGGTATATGACAATGGCTTGCATTTGTCTGTCTTGCTTATTTACTATAGCTGTGATCCTGTAAGTGTCATCTGCTGTTGATGGCTGGTCTAAATGACCCTTTTTGTAGCCGGATTCAACTGCACAGTAATTCTTGTACTCGCGGAATTCATAAAGCTTTCGTCCACGCAGCAGAAGTGCTTGTCTTCGCACTTCGGGCCTGGATTGGTATTCTCTGTGGTACAGACTTTCTCTTTCTATTTGCCGCAGGGAATATCTTGTCTTTGGAGAAAGAGGGGCCCCAAAGAGTTTAGCTTTCTGCTCAGTGGCACTCTTTATTCCATCATTGCTTCTCAATATTGTTGAGGAAAGTCGACCCATCGCATTTCTTCCGTAATTTACATTCTTTGGAAGTGAAACACTCAACGAGCGGTTGATTGCTTCACATTTCTGTGTGTTTGTTTGGAATTTGGTTTTTTCTAAAGCTGCTTCACTTATTCGGATTTTTAAAATTTCACTTAGAATTGATTTGTCATTTTCATTCATTTTCAGGGAATCAACTTTATTTGAGGCCAGATACATGGAACGGTTCCACCAGTTATTTGTTATCCCACCCCGGCACACAACAGAATGAAGGCGGCACTTTGAGCAGTCGCCATCGTAACACATAATAGTGGACTCTAGGACTTTTGGTAGGCGTTTTCTCATCTCCTCAATATTACCACAGTGATTTTCAAACAATGTAGTCATGATTAGACTGCATCTAGCTTTTACATCTTGGCTCAGTATTTTCTTGATCTTGCCCTTATCCAGTCTGGTTTTACCAGGAAACATCTCCTCGCTGAATTTTGCATTATAGCAGTGCCTAAATTGAGTGGCAAGCCAGGTGTGAAGGGTCAGCTAGTCGCTCCACACTCCACATCGGATGCAAAGTTTTTAAACTATCTTCAATTCCAGCAGCTGATCGTCCATCTCCATCTGTTGTTGCATATTTGATGAGGACGTTTTGGAGAGCTAGTTCTGTGCCAATGCTTTTCCCCAAGTCATACTCAGATAATGGTGCGTGAACTGGTAAATTTGCAGTACAGCCTTCGTGTCCCCCAGGGCAGTTGACAGTAAAACCTTTTCCCTTAAGCCAGGCACCTTGCCAGCACAGTTTATTTTGCATCACAGCATTCAGGATATATTTGTGCTTTGTGTTTGTCTCGCATGCAATTCCAATGGCTTTCGAGGCTGCTTGCCCTGGCTTTTTACTGTGGCCTATGGTTATGCTGTTGTAACGCCCATCCACTGCAACATTTATTATATTTGGGTTTACTGACCCTCCCTTCTGATTAAAAGATTTGACAGCTTCTATTTTTTCCTCATGTTAATAGTGTTCAACCTTGTCATTTTAGCACTAACTTGGTTAGAAAAAGTCTGCATGCCACTTTGGAATATCCAAATCTGTCAACAGCAGCCGAGCTCTGGTGTTTCCAACCGGCATGTCTAACAGTCCAGATTGTAGGGTCAGATTAATAGCGGCTGCCTTTCTTCCTGGTTTGCCAGTTGGAATCTCTTTATACAACTTGTAGACAGGTGAGATAATTGTACATTTTGTACACTTTACAGAGTACATCCAACCCGCTCCCCACTTCTGCTCACTAACAGGCTGGAAATTTGGTACTGCACAGGCCTTTCTTCTCCCCTGGGCATGTAACCGAATGACAGAATTCCACATTTCAATCATTTTCTGGATGTCTATAATCCTGTTTCCCTGGATAGTATTCGCCTCAGAATTCTCAGTCTCATCCAAATTTAACATTTCAGGTCTACATCTCAAAACCCGATGACTTCCCGGACTGGCATTAGTAGAAAGATGATGCATATGAATTTCATCCCTGATCTCTGTGACACCTGTGGAAGTTGAGGGCAAATCATAATCAGTTTGGGTTCCAGCCGAGGACCCCTGTAAACGTTGCTGTTTAGTGTTGACTTCATGTCCGAGCTTGAAAAAGACGCCTTGCGTTTATTATGGCCTCTCAAATTGGAAGATAACATAAATGGCTTGTATGTTGACTGTTGTGCATATCTATGGGTCAGGAAAGTTGTAGGTACCATCAACATTGTAAATCATTTGACAGACCAGAATGGAGAGTGAGAACTATGATTGATCAGCCATGTATCAGATTCCATACTAGGGAGTGGGGATCATAAAACTGTTGTAGTGTTACATAATCAGATTATCTGAACTTAATTGTCCTATGTAAATACAGCTATGTAGGAGACATTTTAAAATTTATAGGCACTGCATGTTTCAACATCTTAGATTTGACCACAATTTGGCTCTTGAAACTGCGTTAAGAGAGAAAAACTAAGATCTTTTCGACGAAAATGTTAAAAAAATCTAATATTACATGATAATTACTGTTTTAAAGGATTTTCTTGTTTGATTTATATTGAATTTTTGTTATCTTTTTACAGAATGCATTTATGTTCAAAAATAAAAATGTTCTGTTTAATTCAAAATTCATGTGCTTTTAAATTTCTGTCTGAAATTCCGCAGTTTTCTGATGTATTATAGTATTTGCAGAATGCTGCACAGCTCATCTGAAAATGCATAGATTTTCATATTCTTTGGCCAGGGAATTGCATATATGTTTGTTTATTAGATAACAACAGATTTGTTTAAACTGCAGAAACATGTGAAGTATATAGGACTAAGACTAGTAATTATTTCCCTTTATTTCATGATGGACGAATGTAGTGCGAGTTATAAATAGACAATTTTTCCCTTAATTTTTTTCTCCCCTCTTCCTGCATTTTTGGGTTGACTTTTTGGTCTAGAATTGGAGACAAGGGATCAAATTTGCAATTTCATAGCAGTTTTGGGTAATACTGATGATATTACAGCGGAGGGATAGGGGGTGTAAAGTGTCTTTCTGCAGAGCAATCATTGTGTCGGATGTGAGATTTTCACCCCTGTCAACTTCAAATCCGTGTAGCAAAAAATCTAAATGGTCAACCCCCTACAAAATTATGATGAGGAGATTGCCAAATGTTGTCCCCATTGTGCCTATAAAGATTGGAACCAACGGAATGTTGAGAAAAAAGCTACAGCCTGTGATGTTACAGCCATTTAACATTGAAGTCAATGGGCAAATAATTGCTAGTCTGAGTCCATTAATAATACTACAACGATTACAGTTCAGTTACGCTATTCAAAGACTGATCAGTTTGGTCGGGGATCCATAAAAACAATTCAGCAGACTGGAGGGAGCACATGCCTAGTTGTTCAGATGGAACAGTTTCGAAAAGTCAGACCATGCATACCAGGTCCACTATTTTGTCATTACAGTGGAAAGTGTCTGACACGATTTCAGTTTTCGGCAATGTTAATTAAGGTCCTCCGACACTTAGGTATTGATTCGAGCCATTATAGGTCTCACTCATTTCGAATAGGTGCTGCTACATCTGCAGCAATGGCAGGTCATTCATTCGAAACAATCCAAACTGCAGGGAGATGGAGATCTTGAACTAAATTGAACTTTCAGAAACACAGCCTGCTACAGTTTGGTGTATAGGGTCATCAATCATTAAGTGGGCAGCATTTCATGCTCGTAGTAGACCAGGGGGTTCCCATCTTGGTTTACAGCGCAGAAATATTGTAGCACTATCGTCGTTGCGACATTGTTTATAAATTTATAGACAAGGAATAGAGAAATAAGATGGCTTTATATTTCATTAATTAATATCTTTGGCAAGTTGGTAGGTTCCCACATATGTAGAATTGCACAAAGTCAACTTAGTCTGTAATTGACATATTGTTATATAAAAAAGAGCTCTTTAACCAAAACGTGTCAATATTTTACCACCAGAATTACACGTGAGTGGAATTATTCTAATTGCATCATTTGGTTTAAAGTAACCAATCATATCGTTAATTGCACAGGTTCAGGGCCATGAACACGCTTATTTCTGCGTGATAAACCTGGGTGCTATATAAGATATTTATTTGAACCTTTCAAGCCAGACTTGCATTAGATTCCAGAGATCGAGGGTACATCTGAGTTCCTAGACAGCCGAGAGGCTGGATAGGGTGGAGAAGTGGTTTTAGCTATATAGTATTGTAATTTGTGCTATGCTTGTATACCTGTATTCAGTTATATGCTATATAAAATGTAGAAGCGAACTATGCATTATTATTCCTGGTAAGACAAACGTCTTAAGAAACTGGAAGAAGTAAATACACAACGTGAAGCAGAAGTAAAGACAGCTAGAGACAAATTCTAGACGATCACAAGGCTACAGAAATATGTAGTAAGAAAAGATGCATGGGTCGTATGTAGGATGTGGCGACCGGTTTGACAATGTCCGCTCTCCACGTCAGACAAAGGACCCATGGTGCTACATATTCTAGTTGGTTGCTGTGACAGTTTCGACCTTTAGGGTAAGCAGAAAATTTGGAAGACGATTAGAAGAAAAGAGAGTATGCATCACACGTTGAATGTGGGAAGTTCTCCCGACATATTTTCTACATCTAATCAGTGACTGCATAACACTGCATAGTCTTACATATTCGATTTGGTGCTGTAACGCAGTTTCGACCTTTGGGGTAAGAAGTCACTTTAGAAGACGAATACAATCATATTTGAAGACGTTAAAAAGAAAACCTGTACAATCCAGCAACAGAAAAATTCTGGTGGAAAAAAGAAATCTGGTGAAGATATTCGAAAAATTGGGTAAATACATTTTGTTTGGTAAATTAAATGTGTTAAATTTGTTTAAAGACCAAATAATATTAATTTAAAGTTAAAATCTGATTAGAAACTAAGTAGTTAAAATTTAACTGTATAGAGAATAAATTAGAGTCATTCATAAGTTTAGATTGATAGGTTTATTAAACAATATAATTTCACAAGCTATAGGTATGTATATTATCGGGTTAACATGACCTGTAGTAAAATTAAAGTTAAAGAGAAAGTTTAGGGAGTAGGTTTAAAAAAAAATGTTTTGATATAACTAAGAAATAATAATTTTAAGGAAACGGAATAGGGAATAAAGTAAGGAACTAATGTTGTCTCCGGATCGCAGTGAGAACGACGGCAGATCTAAGGATGAAGTTGTGAGTGATTAACTCTAGTTTCCTAGTTGGCCGTGGTTTTTACTGTGATTCGTTAATTTGTGTTTTTTTGTGTCGTTCGTATGTATGGTTAACTATATAATTTTGAGGCCCTTATAGTCCAGGCCTTAGAGTTGTGTTGAAAATCCCATATGGTTAATTCTAGGGATGTTGGTTATAGTTTATAGTATGCTTGTATACATGTATTCGGCTATATGCTATATAAAATGTAGAAGCGAACTGTTGCATTGTTATTCCTGGTAAGACAAACGTCTTAAGAAACAGTAAGAAGTAAATACACAACGTGAAGCAGAAGTAAAGACAGCTAGAGACAAATTCTAGACGATTACAAGGCTACAGAAATATGTAGTAAGAAAAGATGCATGGGTCGTACGTAAGATGTGGCGACCGGTTTCCGACATATTCCCGCTCTCCACGTCAGACAGAAGACCCATGGTACTACAATATTTCTGTTTGGTGGCAAGGTTACAGAGGTCTACAACTTAAAGGTAAGATTGACTATCTTACCAGCGTTGAAGATCCTCCTGACATGCTTCTGATTCATTGCGGTGGGAATGATATTGGCCATATCAAATTAAACCAGTTTTGGAAATTTATTGAAACTACCCTAAAATATATCGCATTTAGCCTACCAAATACACGACTAATCTGGTCACAGATCCTACCCAGAAAACATGAAATACACGCTAGAGCTTTTATCCGACAAACATCACGCCTAAATAGTTGTGCTTCCATGCAAGTTTTACGGTTGGGAGGTTCTACATTCATTATCCCGATATAAAATTTAAATTTGAAAATTTATATAGAGATGATAAAATTCACCTCTCTGACATTGGCAATGATATATTCCTTAATATAATTCAGGCCGCCTTGGAATTTTTTCACTGCAATTTCGGCTCAGTATATCCCCCATCTTACAAGTTATTAGTCAGGATGGTCTTCTATACTGGAGTTCATGATAACTTATATAAGTTATAGGGAGATATGGTTGCGGTTTCTTGAATTTGAGGAGCTCCCCCATTTTATGGCGGTGATGCAGATTCAAAAAATGTATCTGCATCATTTGTTAATAACGCTCACAAATTCAAGATATGACAGACTTGCGACCTCAGATTGTTCGGGTCAAGTCATACCAAGGTCATAAGTGAATATAGTTATATACAATGATAAAGTAACGAAAGTAAATTGAATTGAAGTGATCTCGACTTAAATGAATTGAACTTGATTGAAATTGAATGAAATGAATTGAACTTGATTGAAATTGAATGAAATGAATTGAACTTGATTGAAATTGAATGAAATGAATTGAACTTGATTGAAATGAAATGAATTGAACTTGATTGAAATGAAATGAATTGAACTTGATTGAAATGAAATGAATTGAACTTGATTGAAATGAATTGAACTTGATTGAAGTGAATTGAAGTGAATTGAACTTGGTTGAAGTGAATTGAAATATATGAATTGTATTGTTGAATTGTTTATATTACATTAACCGCGCCATATCTCTGCCCAACCTTAATAAATAGTTTTAATTTTACTTTGTATTTTGTCTATGAATAATAACAACTATTGATTATACAATAGGTGAATTTATTTAAGCAAAATACATTATTCATCTCTAATAATTACTTCCCTCATTGATTCTAACACCTATTACAAAAGAAAGGGAACAAAACAAATCATACAGAAAAAAGTGACAGCTGTATATTTACATTAGCAATGTAGCCTAGATTATCAAGGACAAACAGTTATCTCCCTTTGAATGTTCTAGGCTAACAGGTGTCTCTCCTCACATACTTTCTCTTTGAAGGAACCCTCCTGAGAGAAGGATCTAAAGTAATTTCCATGTATAATTGTGAGTCAAGAATAAAAAATACAGTGTCTGTGGACCGCGTTTGTGGAATAACTTACCATTTGTTACGTATTATCAGGATTAGCTATTATCTTCCATGCGCTTAGAGCATGCAATATGGATGGGGTGAGAGCAATTACAAATGTACATTATTATTATTATTAAGCATGAGCACTGTTGTTTTTTGGTGAATGCCTGACCCCCCAGGGACAGAGCCACACCCATGTTTTCTTTGTGTGTCTGTGTATTGCCAACAGGCCACAATTCTTAATGGATCGTCTTGGAACTTGGCATATATTTCTCATAGCCTAAGGACGGTAACTATTCATTTTGGTGCATGTCCCGACCCCCAGGGACAGAGCCACGCCCAATTTATGTGTTTATTGTATACAGACCGCAATTCTGAATGGATTACTTATAGCCTAAGGCAACTATTGATTTTGGTTCATGTCCCGCTCTCCCCCCCCCCACCCTCGGTTTATGTGTTTAGCGCCTGAAGGCCACAATTCTGAATGGATTATCTTGGAACTTAGTATACTTACTCCTTATACCCTGAGGATGGCAACTATTGATTTTGGTGCAT